CTTGTTGCAGTTGGAAAACAAACAATTGGAAAAAAGCAGTCGGGTGTAAATGTCTCTATATAGGTGTATAATTGGTTGCATATAACAACAAAACAATGACGATTTATTCAAATCAATTAACTATAATCGATAAATATTTTATGTGACGTACAACTTTTATGAACAAAAATACGTTTCTAACGTTTTATATGAAGATAATTCAAGATAATCAAATTTAGGGTGTTGGTAGTACCTACCATGTAAACCATTATGACAAAATTACGTTAATTTTCCAAAACAAAATAGTGAAAACGTGAACAGTAAACTATAAATTTGAGAAAATGCAAAAAATTAGCATAATATGTAAATCGCTTTAAGCTTTAGCAAAACAGCTACGATTTATGTAATACGGCCGTGCGCAATTTTCGGCAATTTAGAATTTGTATCTTGCCCATTCTAAGCACGTTGTTAGTAGCGACACACCTACGGAAGAGACAACTGATTTCTTTCACTGATAATAAATAACAAAAAAAGAAACCGATTTCGCAAAAAAACTTTGAATCAAATTCTGTACACACTCTATTATCCTACAATTCAGAAACTTCAAAGAATCGATACTGTTACAACGAGGGAAACCAAATCCGAAATATAGAATGTTCAAAATTATTTTTTGTTTATGGTTATATAATGACATATAACAACCAAACTGCTGTCCCGATTTTGTCACTGGTCCTTTTTTATAATAACATATCACCTATGTATATTATTATGTAAATGCGTGTTTGTATATCGGCTGTAAGAGTAAATAAAAAATTAATTAACAGAGCCGTCTTCTCGCTTTCTTCGGACACTTGAAAAATTCTTTTTCGGCGACCGATTGCGAAACGCTGTCGTACACATTTTTTCGGCCACGTACCTCGCATACCGCGGCGTACGTACAGTACAGTACCATATATAAAAAGCCCATACAACAGTTACTAACNAGTCTACAAAATTCGTTCATTTTCTCCTCTGTAATCAAGAACGTTCCTGAATGATATCTCACCGTTCTTTGCTCAGAACGGTACAGAGTTACAGATTTTTCCTGAACACTTTACATCGATTGGATTCGAGAATATTTTAGAATATTCTAGAAGATTCGAGAACGTTCCTGAATTACATCTAATTGCTCTTAATCGATACAAGAGTAATCCAGCATGTATAAAATAAAAATTTCTATTTTGACCTACAATTAGATACACTTTAACAAGCGGAAAAAATATTGTACCTACTGAATTATTTAACTTCGATTGAGTCTTTTTTTTTTTTACTTTTTTCTGATCTAAAGGCTAGTCACGGCGCAAGTCAACTTTAGCTATCACCCGTTCTACAGCATATTAATAAACTTTCCTGAATAAAAAATCGGCCTGTTATTTCGAAATTCCTTTCAAATATTCCTTTCAACATCCTCTCCAAAAAAAAGGAACAAATGCATTACGTGCTGTTGTGGATGGATAAAATGAAACTTTATGAAATTCGATAAAAATTGCACTACAGTTTTAAACAAAAAATAATAATTAGTTTTATTAATCAAGACAATTTCGTGGAAACAGTAAATTACTTGATGAAAGAATTTTAATCACTTATGTAAAATATAATGTAATAATTGTTCATCAGAGCAAAAGTAATTTAAAATCGCCCGAAAGGAAACCACAATTTTTTATGTCTCCTGACTTTTCTTATCATTGTGATCACACTTAATCAAAATTGGTTAGCAGAAACTACGATAAAATACTTTTCACCAAGAACAAACAAAAACGGAAAAATTGACCATAAAATACTCGAGATCTTTATAGTATAAAGAAAAAGTGTTAAATTTAAATTAAACCAAAGAAAAGAAAATCACAAGGGAATGATGGAAAAAGAATGGGATTTTTTTTTTATGGAAACATTACAGATGAAAGCTGGAAAAGACAGAAAATGTGTGGAAAGATACGGAAACTTTAACTATAGTCATTGACAAGCAAAAAAGAAAAGAAAAAATGAAAAATATAAAATTCATGCAGGAATACAGGAAAATATGGAAAGAAAGGACGAAAAACCAATTTATTTGGAATGGGAATGGCACATAAAATGGGAAATTCAAATGGAAGAAAAAGATGCTGTTTTAGCAACCACCGAAAATGTGAAATTATTTTGTTTTTATATCTTAAACAACAAGCTTTTTATGCCCTCCATAAACCAAATCTTAATTATTCAACAAAAATAATAATATTATCGGCATTCTATTCTAATAACCACGTAAGTAATATAGTTTACTATTGCATTACATGCTTTCATACACGGATCCATTTAAAACCAGGTCAAAACTCTTCCTCGTTACCGATTGAGACTATAAAAAATTACTTTCTTCGGTAGGTAGTTATTTTTTTTCTTTTTCGTACTCTGAGCGAGTCATAACATAATTCGTCCAATTTTGCGCCGATTTAAATCAGTTCATGCACCAATGAACATATCAAAAAAATCGCATAACAAAAAGGTCAAAAAACCAGTATTGTGACATTCGCTTTTTAATGGATACCTACAATGGGTGGAGACCCGTTCCAACAAAAAAAATATCTGAACTCACTGCCTGCCACACAAATGGTAGGTAATTACTAACAGTTGAGTAACGTAACACATTGAAAAACCTATTTGGCATATACTTATAATAGAGTAGGAGAAAATCATAATTTTGCAACTTGAATATTTTTTGATTCACGAACAATTAAAAATTTCAGTCAAATTGCAATGAAAACAAAAATAAATAATAGTATACAAATGCGTCAATATTTTCCAGAAAGTCTACAAAATTCATTCATTTTCTCCTCTGTAAACTATTTATTGTACAAGCCTTTGTCGATAAGTGGTCTGGCAGCATTTTTTCGAAAGTCCTATTGCCTTTCCTCTAAGTCTAAGCCAAGCATGTGATTTACCGATTGATTGGTACTTCTCGATACTACTGATTATGTACAATTTTCCATGTTCAAGTCTCACGGGGCACAGACCAGTCGATAATAAATCTATGTACTTATATACCGGTGCAATTGTTTAGGCGAACCACTTATCTGTTATCGTTTAAATTTAACTAGTTCATTCGATATTTGAACAAAACCATTTCAACGATTTTAGTCGACGAAGTAATATCATTTATCATGCGTGTACCATGTTCATATATCAATATCAATAGAATTATTTAAACACACCCCCCACAGTCTAATGTAAACTGCGACATCGTGACCACTTTTTTTTCGCAATCGGTTTCTACTCCTTGACAAAATTACCTGGAGGCATGAACGTCTGAAAATTTAAACTAAGAACGCATCACAATGTAGAACGCAGCCTTAAACTTAGTCTGTAACAATTACTTCTTTTGTATACTTGAATAAGGCGAAAGGAATATTTAAATTAATACAAAAAATCCATTCCGAAAGCGAATGAATGGATCCATTACCTCTAAATAAGATAATTAGTTCTTAGAAGACAAAGGACAGCGTATTTTAAATTGTAGCCATTGTTTGATCTACCTACGGAAACGGTACAGTAGATATTAAAAGATTCTGGAGCTGAACGATTAAATTGAAGATAAAAGGAGAGCTTAAGCCTAATTTCGGTATTCAGAATGTTTTCGTTTAATCAAAATCGGCAACGTGGCTTGTTGCAGTTGGAAAACAAACAATTGGAAAAAAGCAGTCGGGTGTAAATGTCTCTATATAGGTGTATAATTGGTTGCATATAACAACAAAACAATGACGATTTATTCAAATCAATTAACTATAATCGATAAATATTTTATGTGACGTACAACTTTTATGAACAAAAATACGTTTCTAACGTTTTATATGAAGATAATTCAAGATAATCAAATTTAGGGTGTTGGTAGTACCTACCATGTAAACCATTATGACAAAATTACGTTAATTTTCCAAAACAAAATAGTGAAAACGTGAACAGTAAACTATAAATTTGAGAAAATGCAAAAAATTAGCATAATATGTAAATCGCTTTAAGCTTTAGCAAAACAGCTACGATTTATGTAATACGGCCGTGCGCAATTTTCGGCAATTTAGAATTTGTATCTTGCCCATTCTAAGCACGTTGTTAGTAGCGACACACCTACGGAAGAGACAACTGATTTCTTTCACTGATAATAAATAACAAAAAAAGAAACCGATTTCGCAAAAAAACTTTGAATCAAATTCTGTACACACTCTATTATCCTACAATTCAGAAACTTCAAAGAATCGATACTGTTACAACGAGGGAAACCAAATCCGAAATATAGAATGTTCAAAATTATTTTTTGTTTATGGTTATATAATGACATATAACAACCAAACTGCTGTCCCGATTTTGTCACTGGTCCTTTTTTATAATAACATATCACCTATGTATATTATTATGTAAATGCGTGTTTGTATATCGGCTGTAAGAGTAAATAAAAAATTAATTAACAGAGCCGTCTTCTCGCTTTCTTCGGACACTTGAAAAATTCTTTTTCGGCGACCGATTGCGAAACGCTGTCGTACACATTTTTTCGGCCACGTACCTCGCATACCGCGGCGTACGTACAGTACAGTACCATATATAAAAAGCCCATACAACAGTTACTAACAACAACAATAATAATAATTGTAACGGTCCACACACCTCAATTTACAAATTAGATATGTTTAAAAGTCAAAAAACCGAAACCTATTTCCTTTTTCCTTACTACAGACCAATTACTTAAGGAATAAAACTATTTGTCATTTACCAGTTTAAATAACTGAATTTCAACACCAATTCTCATTAAATGGTCGGTGGTCTCTTCCAATTGCCCCAATTTTTTTGTTTTTTATTTTTCATTGCAATGTCTTAATAATTTACGTTAATATTTCGCAGCAAGCATGCACCGATATATCTGATTGAGGACAGCTAACTGCCCCTTATCTCATACGTTAGAAAATACTCTCTCCTTCTTTGGATCCTTTGGTAACCGAGAATGCACCTCGACTTACAAGAAGTAAACTAGGCAGTAAGTGAGCCAGTACCTTCGAAGACATAAAACACTGTAGTCAGGTTGACCTCCGACTAAAAAAAATCGCGATTCCTTTACGTTTCTATCGTTTAAGACTATTTAGTGTGTGAAACATTAAAGCAACATTTAAACGAACGTATTGTGAAAGTGAACCATCACCGAACTTAACTGGGAATCTCTTTTTTTGTCCTAACAGGAAGATACGTAGATATGAATAGATTCAAGTAAGACATTATTTTTTTGTTTTTTTTTTCTTGTATTGTTTTGCATTTACTTTTTTTTAACAATTGTTATATTAAAATCATTGCCCCATATACAGATTAAGGGAAATTTTTTGAAAAAAGTGGAAAATTGAATAAAATTACATGCAAACAGAATATTTTAAAGTAGTTTTCCAAATTTCCTTGAATTTTAAACCGTGTTCTTTGTGATGTATCCTATTTTGCGAATTTTCTTGAGTTTTTCTTTAGAACTGTATCACTAAAAGTCTCGAGAAAACTCACAAAAAGGAATTTTTACCAATTTTACGTCTAACTATCACGAGTTCTTCAAGTAAAAATTAATAGAAATTATGTGTTCATCTTTGGCAAATAAATTCAGATAGAATCAATAAAAACAGAAAAAGTACAAAGTACTAAACAAAATATAATTACAAAAGTTCTGCATTTTAATGATTCCACAAATCCAAATAATATATTGGACAACCTGAATAAGATTTGGATCAGTGCGATTTCCCAATATTTCTTCGTTTAAGTACTAAGACAAATAAGTACCTATTTATTTTTCTCGTAACAGCACGTGAGTTAGACTTCAATTTAAGATCTTGCTACGTAACAAGCGCAAGTAACTACAGTGTTTTATGCAATTTTTACCAATACCTATGTTTACCACACCCCGCATATTTTCGAACCATTAATGGTATAAATAAAAAAAAACAAACAGAGGTATATACACGTAGTCTTAGCAAGCTGAAGGCTTTTATTTATACTTATACGATATCAAATGCAATGTATGTTACCATTTTAATCGATTCGTAACATTACCTCTATGTTGTACAAAAATTTTTAATGTGTAAATAATAAATAAAAATTAAAAAAATATTACGTCAATTGAGATGATGTTCCTCATTCCTCTCTCTCTCTCTGTTTCTGTCTAAATAAAATTAACTTGAACGACGATAAAATCTGCTATCGATATAGTGAGAGGGACATTTAAAGCCTTAGTTAGCGATCGTTCCTAGCAATAGATGCATTATTAAAAAAAAAAATTAAATTAGCAGCATCACTGGGCCGAGCGTAATAGTTTCGTGTTTAGGAGAGAGTATATCACAGAGTTCACCTTTTACTTTCTATCAGACGTTGAGTCATTTTGAGATTGTATAAAACACATGTCTGTTTATTACATGGTGAAACGTAAGGGTCTTTCACCGTGTCTTGTCCATATCGAAATGAGAAATGAAACGAATTTTCACACATTAATAAATTGTTTATTAATGTCCTAAATTCTATTTCTTCACGATGCATGTGCACATCTCTTTTGTTTTTGTCTAAATAATCTAAAGTTTCACACAGGCAATTTCGAACAATAAGGTGAAAATTTTTATTAATTAAAATAATTCAACTTTGCATTTGATAATCGGGGCAATGTAGCGAGATAAGTAGACTAACTTAAGCACTAAAGCATCTTAATCTCATAATCAACTGTTGATTTAAATTGGGTCGTAACTGCAGAAATTTAAACCAATTACTTTTGATTTACTTTATTATACAACATATGGGTACTTCAATTGTTAATAAGTTGTAATGCATTTATGTTGTTACTCTTTCATTTTTACAACGTGTTTACAAAATAACCCAATTTTTGAAGCAACCCTGACCTTTTGTAGAGTAGCGTAGACCCCCTTCACCAAATATCTTTAAAAACAATGACAATTTACGTATATTTGTACACATGTATACGAACCGACCTAATTTTTCTCCAACAGTTACTTTATTATGTACCTAATCGTTCTTTATGGTGATAACAAGTGTTAGAAAATTGTTACCCCCCCCAATACTTATAATTATAATTATATCCAACCTCATATTGTACTTTTAAACATGAAGGGTGCCCCAAATTTTAATTTAGGGATAATAATTCTAGAATCTTTTAGTTTTCGTTTACTTAGAGTAAAAGTTCGTTCAACTGGAAAGTGTGAAATCGCATTTAATTTGATCAAAATGCAGACGAACAAAAGACGTCTTCGTGAATTGATACTGTTAAAATAATTAACTCACGAAAAGTGAATTAGTGGGACACAACATAAAAGGACCATGACATTAAGGTTCAATCTCACGCCGAACAACCTTGTCATTCAGATCGGTTTTTATTTTAAATACAATTTCACACAATAATTGCCGTGCAGTGGCAGTCAATAAGAGCCTTTTGTTAACGTTAAACAAATCTGATTACTCGCTCTAGTAAATGAGACAGCAAATGCAGTTCAACAACAAAAAAAATTCAAATATAAATAAAAATAGTACTGCAAGCTTTGGGGGGGGGGAGTGGAGCTCAAGTTTAACGACACACACTAGCGCGTACCCCTAATGGGCGTCAGGATATTTTCTTTGAATAAAAATACCCTATTCGGTCTAAACAATTGCAAAAAACATAGCGGGTTTAAATGTCTACGTTAAGGTGTACATTTGGTTACATATATACACATACACATAAATTAAAAGGTGGAAGGTTGTCTAGGCCTACTTTTAATATCAACGAGCGGCTTTGAATGGCTAAATTCGGATGTAGTCGTTACTAATACTGATAAGTGCACAGGGCTACTGATAAATAATCAAACGTTTCAACATGAAACCGAAAAGAATTATTATTATGTATTTCCTTATCTGAATCTTGGTGCGCACTTTTGCTTGTAAGGATAATGTTACGTCACGAACGTTTGACAGATCGGTTTTGGTGACCTCAGCTGTCACCACGTGGGAATTTGAACTTTACGATAGCCAAAAGTGTGGTCAAATGTAGAACACGTTCGAGAGGTAAAATCAAAACGACCAATTAACATCTTGGCGAGGTTCAATAAAAAGAGAGCATGTTCTCTCAACCTTGGCAGATAAAACAATTTGTTGCATCACGCATCCTCCTTCCCTGGAGAAACATTTAATTAGAGCGGTAATATAAATGTAAATTTACCGATAATAATAAAACAAAAATGCTGGTATGCAAGGGAAGAAGAAGTAGGGGAAGAACGAATATAAGGATAGGAGTAGTAGGGATATAAAGCAGAGGATAGTGCAGGGTCGAATCGAAGCAGAGGATAGTGCTCGAGAACGATGAATTTAGAAATTCAAAAAAGATTGTTAAAAGGGTATATGCTGTTCGCGCTGTACGGGTGCGAAACATAGATGGTGGGCGCTGGGGAAAAGAAAGGGTTAAAAGCGTTCGAAATGTGGTGCTACAGGCGAATGATGAGGATACCGTGGATAGAGAAGGTTAGAAATGAAGAGGTATTAGAAAGAATAGGAGAACAGAGGACTCTATGGAAATCAATAAGAAATAGATTGGTAGGAGACCTTGTCAGGCGCGAAGGTCTAGTCAGAGACATATTAGAGGCAGAAACGGGAGTTAAAAGGGGTAGAGGTAGACCTCTCTGCTCACAAATAGTCAAGGATGTGGGATGTTCTAGTTTTAGGGAAATGCGAAGAATCTCAGGATAGGAAAAAGTGGAGGTGCGTGTCCAACCAGTCTAACGACCTTATGATGATGATATAAATAAATAACCAATATAGTATGATCACCTATCTACATTTTATAATAATCCATCTTCATTTTGCGAAATATTTGTTATGCATACGCCTAGCCAGAGACATATTTGAAGCAGCAGAAGCAAGAGTTAACGAGACATGGCGGTAGACCTAGATTAGATTATATTATTATAGATCTAGATTAAATTATATTTTTTCTAAGTTATAGTTAACAAAAGTTCTTGATATTACAATGTCTTGTTCGAATGAAAATCCTACAGGTATCGTTAAAACCCTGTTTAATTTTATGGTTACCATATGACCCGAACTCCTTTCAACTCATTTCTTTAATTTCATGTAAATTATTTCTGACAACAGCAACAGTTACAGCAGCATGTAAGAGGAAAAAGATGACAAACTCTGTTTGAATTGAATTACATAAGTTGTCTTATGGCGTTACGGAAAAGTGATTAAATAACATAGAAGGTCGTTTTGCGGCAAAGCACCTTGTTCATATGTATACATTTTCACTCAGCAGAGACCAGAGCTCCTTTCTTATTAACAAACGAAATACGTCGAGAAATGTATCCCACCACATACCTATGTATTTACATGCTTACAGAACGTACGAAATTTTCTTGCAAAACACCTCTCCTCGCTTGCCATATACGTACCTATCTATCTACATATATCTGATACACTTTAATTCCTTTAAAGCCAAGTATAAGACATATAAAGCATACATGCACTTATACTTATTATAATTATAACAATTGCTCGTTATTAAGCCTTTTTTACATACGTTAACCCCTAAATATAGAGTTTACCTTTTTCGGCGTTGTCTTTTATCTTTAATTAACATTGCGACCGTCTATTAAACAATGGCGAATTGTAATAAGTAAATAGAAACAATCGACAGATTTCATTTAAAAAAAAAATCAATGGGCGCAGAGTACGGCGAATAAAGAGGATGCTATCGATACAGACTACGATCGTCGCATTATAAAATATATCCTACTTTTGAACGGCTGACTAAGTAACAATGAAGCCAATTAAACCAATTTTGTTAACCTGGATACCGAAATACCTGTTTCCGAATAGCCAGAAGCCATTTAATTTAACTATTACTATCAGGTATACTTTTGAGTGCGTACGCCAAGCAATACCTACTGAAACGTTACTATTTCAAACCAGACTAATCAAATACAAGACGTCCATATTCTGTGCGAATTTAAGACACCTAATAAATAATTGGACAATTGAAATCAATTAAATATGGCCACACGTTACAAGTTTCATACATTATCAGATACTAATTAGTTTACATAAATGTTCAATGTGGTAATAGGTATCAAATACGATATTTGTATTTCGCAAAACGCCTTTTAGCGCTCTGTAACACACCTGTGTACGTGTTACAAACCCAAAATATGATTATATCATATATCTGTCTGTATATCCACTCTTTGAAGACAGTCTTATCGCCC